CTAACTTTTAAAATTAAGTGAATGGCAGCTGTTCCCCTTCAAATTATTCCTTAATGTCTCCTTCAGCACTGGGCAAAACATACATTTTAGGAAATAGAAAAAAGGTGGTTTAAGTATGGGGTTTTTTATTTCTTCAATTCATTGCAAATCCACACAGGGTGCTAATGCTTAAACCTCCTTCTAACCTTCCTCTAAAATGACTGGTTTTCCACTGAGCTGAGGTTGAACTCCAGCCTACCCTGGGAAGTTGAATTCTCTTCATATAAATGACCATTTCTCAGAAACTGCTAACTTTGCCTTGCTCTTACAGTCTTCATAAAATTTCCTGTAGGCAGATTTCTTTTTCCAAATACCAAAACATGGATGAATTTTTATTTTCTTTCTTGAGAGTGAAAGAAACAATATTAACATTGTCAGCTTTGATTTTAATAGTGCTTGCCTATGACTAGGACTCTTTATATTTGTTTTCCTAATACATTTTTCCAACTTTCTATTGAAAGGGTTGGAAATCTGGCACCTTAAACCAGGCATAAAATTTGTATTCTTACTTGTACATTTTACAGTTCACTTAACGGTTTGCTTTTTTTTGGGGTGCAGGGGGTGGTGAGAGGAGGGTGTTCTTTTTCCCTGTGATGGAGGGAGTTTAAACTACATATTTAAACTACTTAATAACATTTGACGGGGAAGATAAAATTTTGCCTTAGAAACAAGGAACACTATATCCTGGAGAAATTTCTCTAGCTGCTAATAATGGCAGAGGACCTCCAGCTGGATTTTGTTTGAGCAGGGATTAGAGAAGAGTCAGCAACAGCCAAGTGAGCTTAACTCAGGAAGAGCTATGTGTAACTTCTGTGGGTCCTACTGGGTGACTTACGGTTTATGAAGCTTGTCCTCAAGGGGGTGGTTTATTTGGGTTTAATGACTCATAGACTTGTGGACCAGCTTTTTTTTTTTTTTTTTTTTTTTTTTTTTTTTTTTTTTTGAACCAATGCTTTTTGATCCTGCAAAATGAAAAGGAATGCTTCAAGTATCCTCCTACATTCTAGAAATCAAATGATTTATTGAATCACTTAAAGAGGGACAGGAAAGATAAGTGACTGTGGTGCAAAGATAACTGTTCTGTGTGCCTTCCCACAATGTCTATAAAATGACCCTATTGATATCCTCAGCCCACATAATGTGGTTCAGAGATGGGTGAATCACACTGTTTTCTAACAGTTTATCATCACGCAATCACTTCTTTTATCCCCATTTACATGTCTGCTTTTCCCAGTCACTGGCAAAAAAAATCATCTTGACTTCAAAACTTGTGAGTAGGGTTTGAGGTAAAGGGCACATTGTTACACTCCTTCACCTCTAGTGTCACTCTGCAAAGGGTCGGTCTGTTCCTCCTCTTTGTTTTCTTGCATAACGACACCTCCTCTCCAACATCACTATTCTGCTGGCCTCTCCCAGAGCTGCATTCATTCTCACCTGATTTAAACTCTTCATGTACACAGCTGATGAAAGAGTCTTTCTTTACCCAGCAGCTCTATAAATCTTTAAGTAGACTTAGATTTACACATAAAACAGCATGAAAGATGACAATAAATTAAGAGACTCTGGTGAACTTGTTCAATATAAGTAATAAGGCTTCCTATACATAAATAAAAACAAGGAAATTGGCAGAAGTTTTTAGCATTTCCAACTGACAGGCATCCATGGAAGCTTACATAGTGATCCAAGGTACTGGAAGTTGAGTGGGAGATGAAAGATGTTACAGAAAATAAAACACAAAACAATGCAAGCCTTTGTATTCAGCAGGGAAAATCAATGACAGCAAAGGGAAGTGAAAGCTTTGGGGATTTGCCTTGATCTCAACTTCTCTGACTTGTATGTGACACAGTTCGAGCAACCTCTGTTTCAGAAGACTTAATCTGCATTACAGTTATAGCAGATAAGCATCTGATCTAGTACAGTGGAAATGCAGAATCCATACTGGATCATCTTTATAAAGAAGGAAGCTCTAGTACATGGAAAACACTTTGAGAGAAATATTCCTTAATGGGGACAATATCTGACAATTTGCTTTTCATGGATAATCTTTACTACAATAGGCATGGAGACATTTGTACCTTCAATAAGAAGCTGCTGCAATTTGGCCAGGAAGAAATACTGACCTAAGTTTCAGGGGATTAAGATAGTGCTCTTTCAAATGATGCCCACAAACTGGAAACTACTTATTCAAAACTTGGGACAGAATTTGGGTTTTTTTTGAGTTCCTACACAAGGCCTAACTGCTGGAATTGTAAGAAAATTTCAGAAGTCACGTTTTAGAAGTTCCTATCCTACATTTACCTTTTAATTTAGCCCTCTAAGGTATGTTCTGCTTATACCTGGTGCAGTGATGTCTGTACAAAGGACAAGAGCATTCACAAAACAGGACTACAGCAACCAGGAGGGCAGAAAGATTACTGATCCCACACCTTCACCAAGACACCAGATAACATTCCTGTTTTGGGGTTTAAATTTATGGATGACAGGCAAGAGGCAGAAAATTGGACATCTCTTGCATGTATGTTTTGTTCATATAAACTGCTTCCTCCTTGACCTGTCTTTCTTGGTTGCGATTGTAACCTGGGTTTGCTGCCAGGAAAAATTATGATCTTTGTAGCTCTGTAATAAAATTTTGTACATAGTGTGTCACAAATTGAATAAATGAAGCCTTGTTAGTGTTTTAGTTTCATGTCCAATAAAGTTGGTGCAAATCTTCACATGGTTAACACAGACCTGAGCTGGAGCGCTGGAGCACTGCTGTCTTTGGTTTCCATGAGACTGAGAGTCATTTTTTTGCTGGTTAGATACAGTATGCAACCTGAAGATTTTCTTTAATTCCACATGGACATATTTGGATATCATGATCTTAATTTTTGAAGGATGTGGACCTTCTGAAGAACGAAGTCCAGTCAGTTTTCAAGTACAAGGTTAGCAACATGGCGCAATGCAGCTCACTTTTGAGTCAGAGTTTCAAAGAAAGTAAAATGCCTATTCTAGATATACCCAGTTAAAAAAAAATCAAAAAAGAAAATCCACTGGTGCTATGTCATTTACCAAGGAGTAGGTGAAGGCTCATGGTAACTATATCTAGATCATCAGAGATATGAACCTGATTGCAGGTACCTGGATAAATATAATGCTACTAAAATAATGTCTTCAAAAACCCCACCAGAGCAGAATTATACGTGTCCTTTGGCTTGCAGAATACATTAGAAATTTGACTAAAAATACAATGTGGAAAACCACTGTCTTCTAAGTGTGCTGATTTGCCATTTTGTGTGTGTGTGATTGTCTTCATCAGTGGCCATTTCTTCTCCTAGGAGATCTGTTAACAAGTAAGATGAAAAAGTGTTACTTACCAGCCAAAGACTTCTGAAGAAAAGCTCTGCATGCACCAGCAGAAACAGAGCAAGCTGGGGGGTTGAAAGAGGCCATGAGCAGCAGTGAAAAGGCTGCCTGGTGCTCTGGTGCTGACATCAGTCCTGTAACTGTGGGTGCTCTGGGCATGAAGTTCATCTCAAAGGAAATTTGGACTTGCAGTCAAACTGTATTTTGATGTGACTTGGTTTTCCAATCAGGACTTTGGGCTACTTTTTCCTGACTTCCAAATATGAATTTGAAAATTATAAAATCTCAAATTACAGTGGGGTCTACATTTTAATTTTATAATGGCAATAACTCAAGGCAAAAAGGTTTTATCTCTTTTTTATCTACCTCATTTATCTCTCATTTATCTCTCTTACTAACAAAGACTAGGATACACTTTTTCTATTGTCTGGTTACTCAGAGAGAAGCACTTCTTTGTTAAGATCTTTGAGAAATTAAGAGATTCAGAATTAAGATGAATTGCCCCATCTGGTTACAGTAAGGAACCTATGGAACACTAAGAGACAGACTTGTTTATGAGAGGAAACGAATCATTTTGGAAAACATCAATACACCTGAATCAACAAAACACTGAACAGGATACTTTGCTTTATTTGAGGAAAAACACAATGTTTAAAAAACAGGCCAGTGAATTGTGGTTGAAAATTAGAGGACAATGCTTTGTCCCTTCTGCTGTGCAGGTTCACACATGGTCCATTTTACCTCCTGCCTGTGCTGGCATGGCAGTTTGAGTGGGTGTAAGAGCACAGAGAGGATGTGAGTGGGATTGATCTGGCACACTATGCATGCGAAGCACACACAACTGCTGCTGTTTTATTTCGCCATTACACCAACAGAAACGACCATTCTATAGATGTTTCTGGCTAAGAATTCTGCAGTCGGGGATGTAGCATGCTTTAGTATAATTCTCATGCATTTCATAACCTGCAGATTTCATAACCTGTTAAAGAGTGGCATTGCAGCAAAGCAATTTTATTTCTCTATGGCTTCTTTTAGTTCTCTGGTGGGAAGAGAAGATGTGTTTTGGGGATTTTTATAGTCATGTTCGAGAATTTGTCAGTCTCTTTCTTTCCCACTGCTGTTTGCCTTGCTCAGCCTCAGCCCCCACACCCTCCTCGCCAAAATCACGGCAGAATTCCTGAACTCCCGTTCGGAAACTGGTATAAAACGCTGCGGCATGGCGGGCCGCGCTACGGGCTGCGTATCCTGCCCGGCCCCGCCGCACACCGCCCGCGGACCGGGATGGGATTTCTCCTCCTGTGCGGTTGTCTCCCCGCGGGGCCGTGTCCCGCTCCCGGTGCCGGTGAACTCGCGGCGCTCCCTCCGTCCCGGGCCGGTCCCGGGGGTCTTTTTCCGCAGGCTCGGAGCTGCCTCTGGGCTCCGCGGGGCGGATGGAGCGGGGCGGGGGGCGATGAAGGTGCATCCCCCCGCCCTGGCCCCGCCCCGCCGCCCCGCCGGGCTGGGGACCCGCCACCGCCTCTCCAGGGCGGCGCGGGGGGAAGGAGGAGGAGGGGAAAGGGAGGGGAGAGGGAGGGAGGGAAGGAAATAAGTGAGGAAGGAGAGAAAGAGGGAGGGAGGCGAGGTGTAGCTGCCGCCTTGACGCTCTGCGTTCTGCAGCCGCCGCGGAGGAGAGGACAGCCCCCGGCAGGCGTCCCGGCATGCTGAAAGTCACCATGCCCTCCTCCTCCTCATCCTCCTCGTCCTCCTCATCCTCCTCCTCTGGCTCCTCGGCCGCCAGCCGCCCCGGCTCCGCCGCGCCTGACTACTGGATCGATGGCTCCAACAAGGACACTCTGGCTCACTACTTCGAGCTGGAGTCCGAGCTGGGACGGTGAGGCGGCGCCGGGCCGGGCCGGGCCGGGCCGGGTGGGCGGGGGGCGGCCGGGGCTGGGTGTCCCTGCCCGCGTCGCTGTGGCCAGAGCGGCAAAACTTTGGCGTGCGTGAGCGGCAGCGGGAGACCGTGCGGCTTTCACCAGGGGCAGGCTTTCGAAGGAAAAATCACAGCTCCCCGGGAGCCAAGCCAAGAAATCCCCGGGTGAAGGGAATGATTTCTGGGAGAAGGCATCTCCCCGCTCGGCGGAGGCTGGCCCGAGCGGACGGCTTTTAGGCAGGGTACCCGTGTGCTGCCAGTCCCCGCGCGCTGTCGGTGAAGGGTGGGCATCACTCCGGGAGCGCCGAAACGCCGCCTCATTCACGGCATCCCTTCACACCAGACCTTCCGCCGTTCTCTCCATTAGCGGAACCATGCGCTGACAAAACTCCCACCCGAGGCAGGATTCCCTGAATAGGCCTCTGCCGGGTCCTTCCCATCGGGGTGCAGTGTAGGTGAGGGAGCTGCTGCATCTTCATTCATTAATTTTTGCACTACTGCCCTGGTGATAGTCCTGCCCAGCGACTTAAAGGTCCCAAGTGTTCAGGTTCTTAAAAACTGAAGTCTGGTGTAAAAACGCTATATCTGACGTGCAATTTTTGCCCTCTTAATGCATTTGTTAGTTCATGTTGAATTTGCAGGTAGAAAATAATGTGCAAAAATGTGGAAAATTACAGGGTCTTTGAAGTTCACAGTACATGACTTAAATGTGTAAGTCAGTAGGTAGCAAATAGCAATTGTTAGTTTTGCCACTGATAGAGCATTAAAACTGCTGAATAAATGTGGGAAATTTGCAGATAATAACATGGTTGCCTTGATAGAATACTTTTTCCAGAAAGAGCATGCAAGGAAAGTTATTGCTACAAAGCATACGTGTGCTTTCTGTACATTAACTGATAGGGGCAGGAAAGGTGATAGAAATACAATACAGCATAATTCTTGACTTTCTGCCTAGGTCTTATGCATCTGCTGCTACTTTTTTTCCCCCACTATTGCTACTATTCCTTTCCAGATTTAATAGGTATGATTTTATGTATCCTTATCATATTTATATTTGACTTCACTGTACCCCTGTGCAGAAGCATAAAAATATGAAGCAGAAAATATTGCTGTGTTGGTTGTGTGTCTAGAGTCGACAAAAAAGGAAACCAAACAAAATGCTGGTGAACTACAGCAGTTGATACCGACCCTGTCAGCTGGATTAGTACTCTTCTCTGGGGTCTGTCTAGAATCCTCCCACCATTTGTGATAGTGACTGTGGCCTTTGCTTAAGTGTAATATGTATTGGTGATACATCTTGGGTTTGTTGCATAAGGAAGGGTTTTCAACATGTGAAGTCTCCAGATTTTGGTAGGAAGACTTAATGCCTGTGAAAGTACCAGAGTAAAGATGATATGCAATGGATTTTTTCTACCTTGCAAGGTGAGAGAGTAAACGCTGAAACACTAACAAAAGGTTTGAATATGGAAGAGAACCACACCCAAGCGGTGTAGAGATGTGAGCATTAGGTCTGTCTGTTCCTGGGCAGAGGTAGGAAATAAGATTTAAAACTAAAACAAAACCAGTACAGGAGAAAACATTTGTCAATCAAAGATTAAGAGGTAGAGAAGGGACAGAAGAACTTGGAGGGGTACATGCTTTGAGAGGAAATTTCTCTAAAGGGTATGGCAATGAGATCTTGGTCCTTAGGTCCCAAGGTCAGCTTTGAGATCTTTTCAGAGTGCTGATAGTTGTCTCAGAACCCCTCTGATGGGTTTATCTTGGCAAATCTATAAGGAAGAGCCAACAATCCCTCTTGGTTCCCAAGTGCAATATAGAAGTGTATTGCTTTGTCTTGGGTTACCTCTCTCCAGACTTTTAGTTTTGGATATGGTTTTGAGTATGTCTACAAAAACAAAATTATTCATGCTTACTTAGGTTAGTGTTGGGGAAAATGTATCAGGTGAGGCTGAATAATGTGGCTATGTGATCCCTTTAGATGCAGTAAATAAAGTAATATACTGAAATAACCAGTGGAAAACATTGCGCTAAATTATCTTTAACAAATACAGGGATTGAAAGATGTCTTTTGGCAGACTCCAAAGACCTATATTTGGACAGCTGTGGCCAAATACGGGAATTTCCATTTGGAACGAGTGCTCCTTATGCAAAATATATCTGACATATCCCTAAGACATCTTACTCTGTAACTCTTGCTTGCATGACTACCTAAGGAGTCATGGAAGAAGAGGGAGATAATCCCTTAGAAGGAATGATAAAATGCCTTTAAGCTTAGGTGGGAGTCAAAAGTTGTTTTTAAACAGTGGAGTTCCACAGGGATCAGTTCACATGTCTGTGCTGCTCAACATGTTCATATAGAGGGGTCAAACAGAAATATTTGCTGGTCTTTGTAAATTGTCAAGGGTTTTAAAGTTGTGTTGCCTATGAAGAATTACAGAAAGAAACAACTTACTCTACTGTTGGGGCATTTAAATGGCAGATGAAGTTTAGTTTGGAAAAATAAATGGCATGATGGAACATCTCATTACAGGTGCTTGTTGGTTGGGTTTTTTTTTCTTTCATGCAGGCTCTTGAGGGTATCTGTCAAAAAATGGGGCATCCAGTCAAAACTCAATGACAGGAGGTAACGCCACTTTAGCACAGTGTACTGGAAGTCCTGGCCATGGATACTATGAATGCTAAGGGGTACATGGACTTAATGGGCAGCTAGGCAAGTTTACATGCAGGAAATCCACTAAGACTGATTAAACATGAAGATGCTAACTATTGAACTGTAAGTTCTTGAGAGTTTTGATGGTATTCTCTGACAGTGTTGATAGGACTTTGCTCTATTCTTACATTTCTCTTGAGACATCTGTGTTTGGCCACTGTTTGTACTCTGAGCTAGATAGGCCTTTATTCTGATTCTTTTATTCTGTTTTTATGTTCCATTGAAGCCCTGATTAGTTCACCTTCCTCTTAGTCCATTTTTTACAAGGGTTTTGGTGTATAAGTGGAGCTCAAAATACTGTAAATGTGAAATTTTGTGCTTTAAAAAATGTCTTTTTTGCTTCAAAAATGTCTTTCTTTTACAGGTTGCAATTGTTGATGTAGAGTTTGGAATTTTGTTCTGAGTGTATTTTATCTAAAAGCTTATTTTCCACACTCCCTTGGAAAAAGATGTTAAAAATGTTGTACTTTGTATTTCCTTAAGGACTAAAACATATTGTCAGCCTTATATAACCCTTGCTGTATCTTTTGGTACAGAGTTTTTGAATTCAGGGCTAGTCTAAATACAGTGTTTGAATGAAGAAGAAATTCCTTTTTTTTTTTTTTTTTTTTTTTTGATAATAAGCAATATTACAAAAAATGGAAAATTTCTTTGTTGGAATTTTACTTGACAGGCACCCTCTTTGCCTAAGTAACTACATGACTGAGTTGAAACTGTTATGTTTGTTAATGTTACTATTGTAGGCAGATTGCAAATCTATTAAATGGTCAAAAGCAGATGAAAGTATTTCCAGTCAAATCCTTTGGGCTTTCTTTCTTCCAAGGTTACCGTTTCCTGCATGGGCAGTCTTTCAGCTGTGTGATCCTTGCTGAAGACTGAGACTGAAAGGCTCTCAGTACTTGGCAACTTAGCTTGGACTGACAGTGTGAGCTGAATCATGGTGGTTTATGTCCTTGAGTTTTTAGCACAGAGAAAGTTTAAATCTAATGTACAGTTTGAACTCAAGACTTCAGTGTGCAGAATGACATCTTACTCTGTCAATCCTATTTATGAAAGCTGTCATCCTAACATGTACTTTTGTAATGGCAGACAGAAGTAGATTAAATCAGCTAACTTATTTGTTAGCTCATTTAAGCTAACAAAGCAAAAACTTCTTTGTCAAGCTGATAAAAGCATTATTTTATAGAAATGGATTTGTTTTGCACTTGATGCTTTCAAGTTCAAACAGTTTTTGGTTTGAAAGCATGTCAATTGTTTTACCCTCCATCCCTTCATTAAAAAAAAAAGGTCCCTTTTTCTGTTCATCTCAAGAGTAAATTGTTTTACAGCCTTGTTTATTTTGAAAAATCATTTTCTCAGTGTGCTTTAGGGTGCATTTAATTTAGTTCTGTCCCACCTTCATAACATTCTTCCTCATTTGCTTGTGAATTTTTTTTTAGTGGACCGGAGGATTTTCCAAAGTGATGCAGTGATGCAACTGACAGGCAGCACATGTCTGTGATGCTAGCTGTCTGAATGTGAGAGTGTGGAGCCCTTTTAGGGATCATGATGAGAATTATCTTTGAGCAGAAACTGCTCATCTAGATGTGTCTGTGCCACAAACTGTAACTTGCTCGTTACCCTCACACCTTCAGGCAAGCAGGACGCATTTTCCCTCAAACAATTCCTGCCCATAGGGGAGGCTGTTGAAGAGGTGGGTCTGAGGCCTCATTTGGGAACCTTCTTGGGGCTGACCTTGCTTTGAGGTGGGAGGATAGGAGATAGAGTGGGCAGGGTGAAGTTTCTGACTTGAGTACCAGAAACCAGAACTTGCAGTGAATAGCCCAGGCTTTGACAACTAAAATTCTTTACTTGGTGCAGGGTGTGATTTTTTTTCCCAGTTTTGTCTGTTTTTTTGTTCAACAACTGGTTGATTCAGAAGTAAAAAGCTGTGTTGAAAAAGCAGTGAAATAAAATTTACTATTCCATAAATAATACCTGAAATGCATAGGTGATCAATTCTGTGTAAATTTGACAGCTTTTTCATACTTAAAAGAAGAGCTATTAATAATGAAAAAATATGATAGAGAACAGTTATTTCTTGATTTTCAAGGGTTTTTTTTTTCTGTCAGCCACCATGCAGTTTTGTCACTGGTTTAGAGAATGTTTTCTGATTTGAAAAAATATATTTCTAGTGGAGAAAATGAATAGCTCTTGAAGTAAGTACTCTTAAGAATACCAAAAAAGTTTTTTACACAGATTGGTTTTAAGA